CGTCGTTCCACATCTAAGTTATATAAAAATGCATTTTTCAATTTCACTAATCAACGTCGCCGCAAAAATTTCTTCTTCTTTGGGCATTTTAAAAATTCATTTATTTAGAAAATAATATTTACAGTTACCAGTGTACAGATATTAACTAAGTTAAGTATTTCTAGTCATAAAAATATTTATAATTGAGTATGAACTTTTAAAAAACTAAAATATATTTGAACGAAGTCGCTCTAACACCGACGTGCGGTCCACCCTCGACGATGTCCGAAAACGGACTGTGACTGTGTGACAGAGCTTACATGGCGACGGAGCATGCGCGCTCGCGTAAATATATTCAATTTCAGGGAAAAATGATATATTCTCTTATAAAACGGGTAATAAAAATAAAACTCTCAATTTAAAATATTAATATTTTTAAGACCTTTTTTTAGTGTAAGAACTATTTAAAAAGCTTGTGCCGTTTTGGAGAAATTTTGCAAAATATGACAAAGATAGGTACTCTTTGGGGATTTTTTTTCTAATAAGGGGTTGACAAAAATACAATTTTGTTAAATTAAAAACATTTACCAAATCTTCTTCTGTTACCCTGTATTTTTTCTTTGTGGATTAAATGAACAGTTATTGAGATTTTTTTACTTAAATATCCTAGATTTAGGCATTTCAACCACTGTTAAGGCCTTAAGGAAATTCACCGCACGAATACCCCACGGACCGTCTTATATTTCAACCGCCTCTGTCCCGCCCAAAGAGAATATAATCACTACGTTTAGTCCCGCCGGCGTACATTTAACAGTCTTAAATCATATTTAAAATATAATGTCACTTCTATGTATTAATAATCTATGGTCACATCTTTAGTCTTAGGGCGCGTTCCCACGACACGCACCCGCTACGCGCACGCCACGCACGTCAGCACCCGTGTCTAATTCGCTTTGAAATTTGTTGCATATAATTTGAGTCTTATGACAAATCAATACATCAGAAATTGTATAAAAAGCGCGTGTGCGGGGTGAGCGCGGGATCAGCGCGGAGCGAGAACGAATGGGCGCATGGCGTGGGCGAGGCGTGTGCGGTTGAACGTCGATAAATGCAATTTCAGATTTATTGATTTGTCATAAGACTCAAATTAAATGCAACAAATTTCAAAGCGAGTTAGACGCGCGTGGCGTGCGCGTAGCGGGTGCGTGTCGTCGCAACGCGCCCTTAGAGTAATTACTAATTACATATCAAAGAGCATAAATCTACGGTATAAATACATAACTCTAGTAATTTAAGTGTCACATGTCACATCAAATCACAACGCATTGCCGCTATTGGTATTGCATTTTACTTTACACTATTTTCTTTTTCTAACAATGGACGCATTTCAATCTAGGACTAGTGAACCGTCTACTGATATATCAATTAAAACATATATCAAAGCAAACTCTTCACCTATAGTTGTTAATGAGGCACTCAAATATGAGGAAAAATTAAAAACTCAAAAATCAGCACCATCTTACTTCCACTCTTTGAAAGAAAATGAAGCACCGCCATTTAAAAGGCTACAAAAAGATGAGAAGCCGCATCTTCTGGTTGGTGAACTTGTCACCGAAGAAGATGTAGTTCGAATGATCGCTGTAGCAGATACAGAAACTAATATGAACTTCAGAAAATATTTGGGTATGTCCATTATAAAAAGTATACTTATGTAGCTCTTTGGAGGAAAGTTAGTTGTATTCAATACGAAGGGTTCTGAGTACAGTAATTTATTCGACAATTTATCCTATTTATATATACAATAATTTTTGATGGGGAAAATACAATAACCAATAAAAGATATAATTTTTTATCTAAATTTAATTCGTTATCGCCGTCTCGCTCTTGATGTTTATTACCTCGCTGGTTTGCGTGCGCGTACCGCGGTAGGTATTCCGGCATAGATAATACAGTAAGTATATAGCCGGAAGTGCACGACTCTCCTGTTCCTTTCCTTTTCGGTGGACGTGTGTGATAAAGAGAGAGAGAAGAGAATAGGTGATTTAATCAACTCGTTATGACATATGAATAACCTGACCATCGACGGGGGTCAGAGTCAAAGGTGCGAGACATTTGATACTGCGAGGGTACATCCTGCCTGTAAAGGGAGAGGTAAGCTGAGCTGCACTTATGGGTCGAAGCTTGTCAGTTTATTTTCCATTTGGTTGTCGATTCTACGAGCTCACATATTGTATACTTAGTTTTTATTTTGTACAATATGTATACGATCTAGTAATTTAAATAATTTTTTCTCAAGGTGATTATCTGGTCGACAAGAACGTAGTCCTCAGTCACAATCTATCTGAAAAAATGTTTGTCGTCAATTTACTTTTGGAAGCAATAGATTACTCAGCGCAGCGGGACTTCAACGCGTTTAAATTAGCCTGCTTATTAACGATCTACTTAAAAACTCATTTATACTTCAAACGATACTATTGGTCACCACCTGTTGCTGTGTGGGAATATTTTAAGGAAACAATGATTCGTCATACTGTTGAGGTAATTTTGGTATTTATTGTATGTGTAAAGCGAGAGAGAGAAAGTGAATGTCGTGGTATCTATCCTTCATTAAGAATCAAAATGCAGATGCGTTGTCACCCCTGAGGACTAAGCGGAAGCCTATTCGCACATGGCGTCGTATCGTAAGCGTATCGTGATACGTGCGTAGGACGAGAGCAATACGAGGGCGTACATGCTCAAACAAGTCCGCACACGAAGCGGTGCTGTAGCGAATCGTAGATGTTTACTGTCGTTATAGATAGTCGTAGTGTACTGGCGTAAAAAAATTTTTTTTTTAACTTCATACGACTCATCATTTCAATAGGTATGAATTCGTGAAACTGGGTGAAGCGTTCCATTGTTTATATAATCATGAATGATTATATAAACAATGGAACGCTTGCAGAAAGCCGGAGCAATTATTTGCAGGCCATACAAATACTTGTTCCGTGCGAGATTCGAACCCACGGCCCCCAACGCAGCAACTCATTGCTAAGCCACTACGCCACGGAGTCGTCAAGAAATAAAATTTCCTTTTTTCCATTTCTTTTCGATCACCTTTTTCATATACACATTCACGTTATAGTGGTATGCTGTGAATAAATAAACCGCAGCAGCCGTTAGCGCATCAATAATCATTTTAATAAATTCGTCCGCACATTGGCCTGAACCAAAGCAAACTGAACGACCTTCCAACGTGTCGACGCGATCACAAATTCTTGGCTAATATCTCTGCCAACACATTCGCCACTATGTTGGCCAACGTGAAGAGTCGCCATAAGACGAATTTAAGGACACACGTTGAAATCCACAGAGCGTGCCTAAGTAGACATACATATTATATTACCTACATACTTTCGAAAAACATGGTTCTCCTGGGGCAGTGGGGTGAATACAATAATGGAGGGGGATGAAGTGCGTCTCTTTTAACTCCAGCGGCTTCGAGCGACAACAACCCACGCCACGCTACTATGCATTGACTATATTTTATGATGTTTTTAGGATTCCCCGGACGGATGTGAAGTTTTTGCACCAGACGAAAGCTACGATATTCTCACCCATTTTCACACGTTGTACATGTGTAATATACCATTAATACATGTTCTGAGCTTTGGAGTGTCCCGGCTCAAATTCACGTGGCCCTTCAAATCAACATGAGCAAATAATAAATTAATAAGACGTTATATTGCCATTTTAATGTTTCGTACCGAATGTTTGAAACCTATATTTATTAGAAAAAATTTTAGCTTAAAAATCGGACCCATTACAATAACATCCTACTAGGAAATCTATTACTTTAACTAGCTATTCCCCGCGACTTCGTCCGCGTGGAATTTATAATGATTTTATTTCATGGGTTTTAATTTTTTTGCGCAGAACCCTAATTCTTTTTCTAAAATAAATGTAGCCCAAGTTATTCCTTATAAACATCAGCTATCTGCCAGTCAAAATCCCGGCAAAATCAGTCCAGCCGTTTCGAAGATTAGCCGGAACAAAATGACAGACAAATAATTTAAAAATTGTTTTTTTCTTATAAGTACAGTATATAATTTCTTTAGTAAAAAGCTGTTATTTTGACATTACAAACACACACTTCCATTTTATTTATTTGTATAGATAAAACTCAAAACTAAAAAAGATTTTATTTATACTAATAGTATTAAGTTGTGACATAAAACTAATCATTGTTGGTGGTAGAATTATAAATGTTTGTGTTGTCTTTTGTTGTAGATTAGAAGCCAATCACAAAAAAAATTAAAAAAAAATTATGTAAAAAAAATTTACCTTGTTGTCACTCCCATGACTGACTTGACGTTGGCAGAATTCTTATAAGAGAAGCCAAAAAGTAAAGAAGAAGAAGAAGAACTCGGTCCGTTTCAACCCGCATCACGCAAAAACCTGTGAACCGATTTGGATAGGACTTTCACTGGCACATAGCTGATGTTATAAGGATAAACTTAAGTTACTTTAATTTTAGGAAAAGAATTTGAGTTCCGCGCAAAAAATTAAAACACATGAAATCCAATCGCAATAAATTCCACGCGGGCGAAGTCGCGGGGACAGCTAGTTAATAATAACTTATCTAAGTCATATAAATAAAATTGATGCGCCTGTCTGTAATATTGAAATAACTGCCTTATATGGGAGCTGAAGGGGTTTGTATGTAATAATTTTAAAATGTTTGTCTGTCTGTCTCTACTGGCTTATCTCCGGATTGTCTGAACCGATTGTATTGAAACTTAATGAAGATCTAGGCTACATTTTAATTTTTAAACTTGTTTTTTTTTTTCAATTGATAACATAAATAATCTTTGATTATCTTGAATATAAATAACGTCACATAAATAATAGATCCTACCCAGGTGAAACCAGGACGGGTCGCTAGTATAAAATATACAAGCACAATATGATGGTTAACGAGTAAAAATGAGATTTAAAAAAAACGACGCAAATATAACTTTATTATATAATGTAGCTGTAGCTTAACTTAAATCTATTTTAGGTTTGCGAACTTTCTTCCGCTTCCTAACTTTCCCTTCTTTTACGCCGTGTTCTATTTTATTATTATTGTTTTTATTGCCCGGTTTGTTTTTCTTCTTTTTACAGGATAAAGGATTTGGATTGTGCGGTTTTTTCTTTTTCAACACCAACTTCGGTTCTTCTACTTTCTCTTCTACGCCTAGAGCTTTTTTCATATTTTTCAAGGCTTCATTTTGAGTTTCACTAATAAATGTGAAATTGGATTCAAGTGCTTGACCAGCTTTGTTATAGCTCGCTTTAGAGGGTTTCTCGAGTGTTGGTGATTTGTTATGTAAATACAGCAGTGGAACTCCAGCTTTAGTTCTCATTTTCTCCTGCAAATCCCTATCCTGTGTTGCAAGGATATAGTGTTTTTCATTTTTATTGCCAATCATAGACTTAATACACTGCGATCCTGTCACTGGTTCTTTATGACCACATTCATGGATACCAAATTGCTTTAATATAGTCAGAGCACCGTGAGTCTTTTTAGCTATTTTTTCAGTCTCTATTATAATACACCTTGTTGTTAACAATTTAACTTGTCCGTTCAGATATTTTGGTAGTTGATCTCTTACATTGATGTGTTCCTGAAATACATTTAAGAAATCTAGAATAATCAAGTAAAACAAACAAAGCCATAGTAGGTAAAATTCAAAGCATGTGTGGAAATCGAATTTCGATCCCCACCCGGGTGTGAGTGCTGATTTACTACGAGCTCGACGGGAAAAGAAAACATCATGAGGAAATCGACATGTACCTGAGTAAAGTAAGAATACGTGGTAGAGCCATGCTGCAGCTATATTATAGTTGTAGCACGAATGGGTCGGCTCGACCGGGGAAGGACTACGCTCTCACAGAATTCTAGCGTAAAATAGCAGCCCAACGCTACTGTGTTTCGTATGGTGAGCGTGACAACGCATCTGTATTTTGATTCTTAATCGGGGATGGATGTAGATGTCTATGGGCCACAGCATCTACTTACCGTCAGGTGGGTTGTGTGCTCGCTTGTCATTCTTATTCTATAAAAAAACATGCGTGAGTGTCGCGGAACACTCGGTTGGAACAAAGTTCCATTCGCAGTATATTATTATTGATAAACGTATTATATTATTCATTAATAAATAAAAATAAATGAGTTACTAGCGTCTCTTAAAATGAAGCGTCATTTAAAATATAATAATATTTCTTTCATGACAAGATAAGAAAAAGGGCAAGGGCGATGGATATTATTCTATCTCGCTTCCTTATAGCCGCCAAGGCCGTCTACACTACGTCAGAACGGGTCGTGACGGAAAAATATTACACTTTTTCTCTCCTAGTCCACATCCGCCATATTCGTAGCGTCCGATAAGGAACTTCGTTTCAAAAAAATCAAGAGCATTCGAAGTCCGTCTACACGAATTTAAGCAACGTGAACTTTTCTGTGACTGTGTGTGTGACAGAAATAACATATACAATGCTTAACATAGGTAGAATTCCACTTTTTATATAGGATATGGGTGACAAGCGAGTACACAGTCCACCTGATGGTAAGTTGTTGCTGCCCATAGACATCTACATCTATCTTCGATTACGAATCAAAATGCACATGCGTTGCCACCCGTAAGGACTAAGATGGAATGCCTCGTTTCCAGTAAAAATGATCTCCGGTTCTCTACACTCACCATACTAAGCACAGCAGCGTTAAGCTGCTATTTCACGCTGGTATTCTGTGAGTGTGGTCTTTCCCCGGTCGAGCCGACCCATTCGTGCTACAACTATACCAGTAATATTGCTGTAGCATGGCTCTACCACGTAAAAATTGATGATTATTTACAAATAATATAAGATTGTGCCGTGTGGTGGTGGCGTACGAGAAACGATCGTCCTATTTCGCCTTTCGTGTGTCGTAAAAGGCGACTATAGGAAATGTCAGATAAACCTTATTGCTTCGCATAGATACCAGTACCCAGGATATTTTTTTCTTATAGGATAGGGTGACGACACACAGTCCACCTGATGGTAAGTGGTTGCTGTGACCCATAGACATCTACATTTATCCTCAAAAAAGAATCAAAATGCAGATCCGTCGTCACCCGTGAGGACTAAGATGGAATGCCTCTTTTCCAGTAAAATGGGTCTCCGGTTCTCTAAACTCACCATACCAAACACAGCAGTGTCAAGCTATCCAGACCGGCGAAGGGAAGCGAACGTCCAAAGTGCAAAACTTCTCATACTGAGATTATCAATTCGTCTGCCAACCATGACGGTTAAAGGAAATGCTAAGAGAGTGACGGCTGACCGGCAGTGGATTTCTATAAGCAAATGAAAACAAAAAAAGATTACAAACAAAAGGTCAACATGTCAGAGAAATAAAATAAACTTCAAGGACGTCCACCAAAACGCGCTGACAACCGACAGCGCAGCGGGTTCCTCTCTGCTGTATTATCCTCTTAAAAGGCGTCTGTGCTATTAATAAAAAAAAATCAGCATGATATCGCAATTTCTTAATGCAAGTAAGATGTAATTGATTGTTCAATAAATATAATAATTATAATGATGCATACAAGTTGTCGTGTAATGGCGGCGTAACACAATCCACTACCTCATATCATCCCGTGGGTGTCGTAAGAGGTGACGGAGGGAAACCGAAACAGGAGATGGGCAGCAGCATCTTCCTAATAACAGCTCATAACAATAAAGAAACTGCCCTTACCAGCCCCAAGCGTGGCAACCGTAGCAAAATCGGGGACGCCTATGTACAGCAGTGGACTTTTGATAAGCTGTAAGTGTAGGTAAAGATTGAATGAATGAACACATGTCAAGGACGCTATATAAATTATTAGAATACCTAGTTTTGGTTACTGCTCGCGGGCTCTGGAAAGTTCTCCTGCCAGCGCATGCTCTGTTCCCTGAGCGTAAGATGAGAATCAGCACTGTCAGCCTCCGGATCGGGCAGCTCCTCCAGAGGGACTTGGATGTCCTCGTGGGGGAGCCGCTCCGCCCGCCATTCCTCGTCAACGATGTCTATTAGACGACCGTTGCGACGGTATTTACTGTCCATTCTGTGCAGATATTTCAAACATTACGAACAAATTCAGTAAACTTCTAGTAAAAGTTGAAACAACTGAGATATATCTGTCATTAATCATATCTTGGTAAATGGAAAATAGATGTGTATTATATTTCATTAATCTTTATTTAACTACTTTGTTGTAATTTTAAAAAATTTAAAAATATTTATAGCGTATGGAAAAATTAAATTAAATACGAACTCTAATGCACCAAACTAGCCACTGACTACTTTTTATCGCAATATTTAAGAATACTCTTTAATAAAGTAGATAATTAAAATTTAAGAAACTAAAAAAACATGCATTGATCACAAGCTGTGATGACTTTAGAGACAATTATCCGTGTGATCCTGATCAGGATACTAGGATAAAGTTAAGTATTGTATTGTCATCGATCCTTGATACGACGATGCAAATTAAGTAAGTCAATCAACCGATCCACAAGTTGGTGAAAATTACATTAAAAGATTCTGTTACATAGATACACGCGAAGCTAATAAATGCGTGTTAAAAATCACATGGGTAACCTGAGGTTTGTACAACTTAATTAGTGGTCAGTTCACTTTTTGCAAGTTTTTTAGCTAAGTATTAAGTGACAGTTCATAAACCCACGGAATTAAGCGATTCTTATTTTGCTATTTAGATTTTTATAATAATAACAAACATCCGCATTTTCGTTCACATTAGTAATGATAATATATATAACTATACAAAAGTAGCAAAATAAGAACTGTTTTACTCTTTCACGTTTCGTATATATATTTTTTGCGTTGAGTGATTTGAATACAGTTCACAATATAGTTTAAATAAAGTTTGCACACGACGTGACACATTGATAAAATAACTTTAAAATCCAATTTCTAGTTTTGGATAGTGCGGATCTTAATCCTATCTAGCTCATTTAAAAACATATAGTATCACTAGACATATTGTGTCATACCTATATCATATCATGTTAGTGTATCATCATAATATTCTGTAAAATATGTAGACGATACAAGTTCTTCTGATCCTCATATCTTTTCCTTTAGTTCTCATGTTACTCAAATCTCTCAGAGCATTGACAGCTTACTGTTAATGTTACCTAACACTAGGGTTTTCTCCTGTATTGTGGAGATATTATACAAATAGTTGTTCCGTGCGAGAAGCGAACCTTCGTCTTGCAGTGTTGAGGCGAAATAATTAGGCACTGTGCTAAAAAATCGTTGTTTAGTTCAGTCATGTCATTTATCGCAATTACTCAGAATTTATCACTGGAGGGTATCTGTTTTATTGTATGATATTTTGCCTGTTTGTTTTATATTATTTTATTACATTCATGTAGCTTTCATTTATTTTTCATTCATTTGTTACAAGACCATGACTGCGTCCAATATTATTTATTATGTAAAGCCTAAGAAGCCATCTATTTAGGATTTAGTTCATTGCTAAGTCCCAAACTTTTAACGAATTGCAGGGTTTACTTAACTGTGAGCACTTTTACTTCCTAGTAACTTCCCAGATGGATGCTACGTTATTGTATGTTCAGTAAGAATGTCCATACATTCTTACTGAACGTACCATATATTAAATTGGGAATTAAAATTCTCAATTCCTCCTTAGGAAATTTTAATTCCTCTCTACATCATCATCAAAATCTTAATTCTGATTCTGTAAATAAGTATAAAAACAGATCGAGGCAGCGTTGGTTGGCTGGCGACGGTGAACTAGAAATGTAGTGAAAAAGAAACCAACCTGTTGTAGCACAGAATAGATAATAGTACAAGTACCTGAAGGAAAAGTAGTAAAACACATTTACGTTCAAATTCAAGACCATGTAGACTAGCGTCGTGTTATCTCTTTGATGATCGAACAAAACCAACCAGATATAAGACGCGGCGTATCAAGTATCGTCTTATCGTGAAACAGTCAACATCGACACTACCGATCACATAACGTGTATCCAATACAAGTCGGATACAAGTTTTTGTGCAAAATGGGTCATATCAGATACGGTATCACAACGGCAGTCACATCTCCAGTTCTATTTGACAAAAAGGTATTGGAACCAGCTTTATCATCATCATTAGCCTCTCTTAGGTACACTACTAAACATAGTCCTCCTACAAGAAACGCTACTCGAAAACTTTTCTTCCCCATCCGTAGTCAGCTCTTTGAGCTATAAGGCCATCCCCTTGCTACTTCAGCTTATAGATTGGTTGGGCTATGTTGCTTACTCTGGTTCTACAGTGAATATCTTTATTTCGAAGTAGCAGGGATGCAGGGAAACTTCAACCATAGCCCTCAAAACGCATTGCTTGTATACTCTTGTTTTCTGGTTTTGAATCATATGTGACAATATGTAATGTTCCAAATGCTGCTAGCCCAAGATGAATCCTTCAATTGACCTCACGGTTGGAGTTGGACTCACCTAGCCGCACAATATGTCATAGGTTACACATTACAACATTTTCAACAACAACTTCAAGCATAGTGCTCCAAAACAACTACAGTAGGTGTGAAATGGAGGTTGCTCATGACCTGTGACTTATCTTCATCCATTTTTAAAACCTATTTATTGGAAGACACTTTTAAGGTCTAGAGCATAGAGCTGAGGTTCTGCAGCAATCCTGCCATAAGGACTGTATCTTTGACAAACCGAAGGTGTGTAATATTTACTTGGATTAATTTTAATACTCTATCCTTTCCAGTTGAGTAGCATCCAAACCAATTCCTGTACAGCTGTGAAGTGTTGGTGATATTAAATCACCCTGTCTTACATCTCTCTGCAGTTTAATAGGTCTCATACTCTAGTTCTATACTTGGATAGCTATTGTAGCCATACTGTACAAGCACTTCAGCACTTTGATCACTTTGGTCAAGTTTTCAAATGAAACTCATTGTGTCACCTACCAGAAGGGTCAGAACAGCATCTAAATTGAACACCAGTAAAATAGTTTTCTCAACTATTTATACAGATATTCTTCAAAACTTTCAGTATTTCATTAAGATTCCTTCTTTTCATTTATACAAAACTTTTCTGCCACCTGGCTTCAAAGTGGTAAGTTGAAATTAAATTATGTTATTCATTTTTTTGAACAAGTTTATTTACCTTTTTCAAATGGATCAGATTGCAATTTTCAGTAACTGTATAACTACATATTAGGATAACCGGAAGACTTTTTGGAGCAAAGCAAGAGCAGAGCGTAAACAGAAACAGAAACAGAAACTTTTTTATTCAATATAGATTATAAATAATACTTATTGAAAGTCACTCTTTTGTTTGATTACCACTGGTTCAGAAAAAACCTCTGTCCTGGGAAGAACCAGCAAGAAACCCAGCGGGACTTTTTTTTAAATAACAGCTTACAATCATGATGTTACACAAATTAACAACACAACAAATTAGAAATAGCTTGGTAGCGATCACCTCATTTCCAGGGGTTATTATCATCCATAAATTCCTTAATATTATAATAACCCTTTTTATACAAACTTAGTTTAATAAAGTTTTTGAACTTTGAACAGGTCAAACTTTGTATATTTTCTGGAATTTTGTTGTAAAAGCGTATACATCGCCCCAAGAATGAATTACTGACTCGATGGAGTCGAGTAACTGGTACTAGCACTGGTAACTGGTACTGGTACTAGCTTGTGTCTGGTTCCTAGTATTTACAGAATGAATATCACTTATTTTTATAAAACTACTTTTATTTTTGTGTACGTACATTACATTTTCATAAATGTATTGAGAGGCCAAAGTTAATATATTAATTTCCTTAAATTTTTGTCGCAGCGACTCTTTAGGCTTTAAATCGTAAATTGCTCTTATGGCCCTCTTCTGCAAAACAAATATAATTTCAGTGTCAGCTGCGTGTCCCCATAGCAGAATACCATACGACATTATGCTATGGAAGTAGCTGAAGTAAACTAGTCTAGCTGTTTCAACACTGGTTAGACTTCTAATCTTTTTTACAGCATATGCTGCAGAACTAAGTCTGCTTGCTAGTTTTGATATATGGGGGCTCCATTGAAGCTTCGCGTCTAGTGTGATTCCAAGAAAAATGGTGGTATCTACAAGACTCAGTTTCTCCCCATTTAAAATTACATTAGTATTTAATTGTTTGACATTTGGAGTCACGAATTTCATACATTTTGTTTTAGTGCCATTTAAATGCAAATTATTAACATCTAACCAATTTACTAATTTAGATATAGCATTATTTACTTCGTCATATTTTAGTAACTGTCGACTTAATTTGAAAATTAAAGAAGTGTCATCTGCAAATAATACTATATCATGGTTATCCCCTACTATGTAAGGTAAGTCATTAATGTATACAAGAAACAGAAAGGGGCCGAGAATTGAGGCTTGAGGCACGCCCATTTGTACCATCGATCCGGAAGAGCTCATATTGTTAATGACAACTTTTTGCGTTCTCTTACTTAAATATGAAATAATTAATTTAAGGGCATCACTTCTTACACCGTAGTGTTGAAGTTTCCTGATTAATGTTTCATGGTGAACACAATCGAAGGCCTTGGATAGGTCACAAAATATACCCAAAGCATCCTGTGAATTCTCCCATGCATTAAAGATATATTTAATCAGCTCAACACCGGCATCAGTTGTCGAGCGACCCCTTGTGAAACCAAATTGATTTTTATGAAGTAAATTATTTATATTAAAAAAATTTAACATTTGATCAAGAACAATTTTTTCAAAAATCTTACTAAGTGTTGGTAGTACAGAAATAGGTCTGAAATTGGCGGGGTCTAATGTACTACCAGATTTAAATAAAGGTATTACTTTACTATGCTTCATTAAATCAGGAAACACACCAGATTCGATACTAGTATTAAAAATAATAGCTAAATGAGGCGCGATTGTATCTATTATAGATGCAATAACTTTAACGGAAATCCCCCACAGATCCGCAGTTTTCTTAACATCAATAGTTTTAAAATATTTTACAATATCTTTTGATGACACTTTATGAAATGTAAAATTCTTTGTACACACATTTACATTTTGTTTAAGTAATGATTCGGCGACGGCATGAGAAGAATTCAGTGACTTAGTGGTCAAGATCGGAATATCAGTAAAATATTTCTCAAAAACCATTGCTACGTTCTGATACAGTTAATTTGTTGTTAACACTTAACTGGTAATTTGAATTGCGAGAGTTGATCTTACCAGTTTCGCTATTAATTATACTCCATGTCATTTTAATTTTATTGGAAGCCGTCTTAATTTTGTTGCTCAAATGCAAAGACTTGGCTATGGAGCACACTCTTTTAAATATTTTTTTACATATTCCCTAAATTCGACGCTATGATTATATGACCTTTCATGGTAAAGATCATATAACCTATGCCTGCCCTTTATGGACTCCTACTGTCGCCCATTCATTGAATGACTTCCGACTGTTCAAGGAGAATGTTTTAGAAGTAAAAGTATTATTAAATTCATTGCAAATAAGCTTAAATAATGTTCCATTATCCATTATAAACACTAATAACTTATAAAACTTAATATTTGCAGTGAAATGATTTTTTTTCTTTACAGCGGAAAAGGCAACAGTTGACTTTACAGGGAAAATAAAACAATTTACTTGTTCTTAAAGCGGCAGTAAGCAAAACTAGGTCTTCTGTGTTATAATGATCACTTAAAACGAGAACTTACTTTGAAGGCTGCAAAGCAGAATGTGCCATCGAGTAAAACTTGATACGGTTGATGGAAACCGTAGTTATTATAGTAGAATTTAAGATATTTTTGCACTTTTTTATACCTCGTTATTTTCATTTTTAAGAATTTAGTACAATACAAACCTTTAGCTAAATTTCAAAATTTGTTGGTGAAACGCATAGAATTTTCTGATTATTCAAAGTACTCTGTGCATAGAAAAAAAGTAATATAAACTTAGTGATGGTAACTCCAAAGAGTATAGTAATTGTCCTATACAGGAAGTCAACTCGAGTTACTAACTCGAGCACTCTTATCATATATTACTATACTCTTTGACTCTTATCTATGAACTCGAGTTGGTCTCCCTAAACCCTAACTTGAGCTTGGGCTGCTGTACATGAACGGATCAAGGGAGTCAGCAATAAAGTAAGAGCGCGATCAGTTCGCTGTATGCGCGCTCTGTGTTTCAAAGAGAATTTAGCTACAACCAAAACAATTTGTTATTTAGAATTTTATAAAAGCTAAGTTATATAATTTAATTTCTTTTATAATTTTGATTAATTATGATCAATATAGTTATGTACGTCACAAACCTATTATTATTTTACACCTATTGTATTACCCGAAAATAGTAGTAAGTTGAAAGATACATCATATTTTAATTAAGGCCAAATGTAACACTAAGCTTACAATAGATATTTACAATTTGAATTTTTTGAGAATATTTTGACTGTGATAATTAAATTATTAATAGCTTATGTACCTACATCTTAAAGCTAGACCAATATTGTTAGGTGAAGACTGCTATACATAAAAATATACCTTTTTATTTCAATGCTACATAATAAGTTTGATAATTATAGTTATTCAAACCCACCAAAGAGATAGACAGAAAAACAAATTTATAAAAAAGTAATTTGTAACAAATTATTTACTCTGTTTCGTACTGCTAACTCGAGTTTAAACTCGAGTTGCGTGAATTTCAACTCGAGTTAACTCAAGTCGAGATTTTTCCGACTTGGTACATCTCTATATCAAGCATAAACGTCAGACAGAATAAAATAACCATAGATATAAGAAAGATATCTTTCTTTTATCTATGAAAATAACCTATAAATTAATACCATAAATCTATGATTTTTTAATTAAGATTTATGGCTTGGATGCTTGCTTTTTAAGCCATGTCTTCATTTCATTCGAGATCTTCGTTTTTATAGATTTTCAGTATCAACTGATAATAATCCCTTATACTGCTTCACAATGTGTTGATGCGTCACATTGCGTAGTTTTTTTGAGAGTTTGACGGCTAATTGAGCCAGTTGACATTTGGCGATAGTATCTCAAGACACCTAAGCAGACAATCACTTTATATTACTTTATAAAACCATCGGAGCACTTGTTTCAACATTCCCACTAGTAGTTACATGTGCAGTTATTAAATACATAAAATCGCAATACTTTTACATATCAAAATCCACTTTAAACCAGGCCCGCTGCTATTTGTTTGAACGCCTGCATGCAATACTGATTAAGCCGTCCCATCTGCAACCCTACGCTGAGCTCGGTATCGGTGAATCACTGGAACGGGTTCAATAACATCCAATCCGTTGAACTAGTTCTACTATTAAAAGACTAGTAAATCGAATTTGAGTAATCTTATAAAAGCATGAGAAAATGAAAGAATACTTTACAAAAAAGACTATATTTAGATACAAGTACAAATTCATATCTGAGTATATATAATTAAGACCAAGGAACCTACAACTTGAATACAAATTCAACGCAATTTGAATACTTAAAAGTGTGTATGATATAAATATATTATTTAAAATAAGTTAAAAACTTTGTCAGTACTTAAATATTATACTACAGACATTGAAATCTTCTTGCCTTTATGTTTGCAAATTCTGCTAACAAGTTTACCGTATTTAAACTGTCCAATTAAATTTAAATTTAATGTTCAATCGAAACTATAACTAAATTATATTTTAGTCTTTGCTTGTTCATTGCTGACCTTAAATAGTTTTTTATAATTTTCAACTTTAAAAAGGACCTTTCGCCAGATGCAACTGAAACTGGCACTGTGATTAATATTCTTAGCGCTATATTGTTGTGTTTGAAAATATTGAAATTAAGTCATTCGTAAAAAGATATTTTAGCAAAGTATGAGAATCATTAGTGTTTGGTGTTTTTGTTAGAAATGGTTTTCTGAAAAATGCAACTTTAAAGGTTTTTTTATTATTATTAAACCAAAAGAGTGAGCATCACTCTTGCATCCATCTGGCCCGAAGGCAAAGATGAAGTCTACTATGTAGCGAGTTTGCCCAGGAGAAGTCTGATTTCATTAAATAAATAGATACCATAAATGTCAGTTTCACCGGTAGCTTCGTTTAGAATTTTAAGCTTTGGATTTAAATTTTTACAATGTATCATTAAGTCATCATTGTTATAATTAAATAAATTATTGTTTAAAAAACCGAATACGTCAGTAAACGTTTTTGACTCCTCCAAACTAAAGTTGTTAATGTTTGATCTAAGATTCTGAAAAAAAAAAACTACTTTGTATTTGATCTTAGGGTCTAGTAACACTTTATCTAGGTGTTTATATTGAAATTGGATTTGTTTTTTTCTAGGACAAATAGTGTTTATTGGTGTGAAATTTGTTTCTACCATGAGAACCTGAGCCAAATCAGTGGCTTCTTGTAATATTTTCTCAAAGTGCTCATCTGTGTGATATTCAGTGAACTTAACAATAAATTAATCCAACAAACTTACACAGATTTGAATGTTCATTGAGGGGCTTTGCATCATTTTGCTTAAACTATGAATTTCGTATAAAATATCAAACCAAATTGTTATTGAGCGAATAAATCTATGATTTTGAATGCTCAACGCAAGCGAACGAGCTTTGTAAGATATTGTACAATCCCATTCTGACGAATTATTATCAGATATTTCCTGCAAAGCATTAATTTAATATCTTTTCAAGATGGTACCGATGGTTTGACTGCATAGACTCTGCTAGATCATTGCGTTCCACATAAAGCTTTTAATTAGAAATCTGGTAAATGTTTGCATATTATCGACAAGCTCTTAGTAGATGATGAAAAGAAAACGTAAATTTCTTGAATTATATTAAAGAAATTCACACTTTCATGCGTGATATTTGCAGCATCATACACAACCAAATTTAGATTATGAGCTGAGCAAGGAATGTAAAATTTAGATTTTCAAACACTTTTTTCTGTAATCCGTAGTGTTTTCCACGCATAAAAATCCATTATCAAAAACTTGACCACGTAAATTTTGAATGTCGAGATTTAATTGTAAAAAAACAAAGTTTAATAAACCCTCACCCGTTGATACGGTATTTGTATAAAAACCAGTGAAGTGTTAACAGATCTCTACCTTTTTAATTATTTAAATAAACATGTCTAAATATTTCTGTAATTTGTACTGTGTGACTCTCATCCGGTATACAATTTGTATGATAGAAAAATATTTCAATATTCTAACTTTGATCAATTTTTTTTATCGTTGTACCGTATAACTCAATAATTTCATTTTGAATTTGATCTCCTAAATAGTGAGCCATAACCTTTCGACTGGAATTACAATTTAATTCAATTCTCCGAATATGTTTCCGCATAACCGAAACAAAAGAAGCTACCATTTCTATTACTTTCAGAAAATTACAGTTATCATGTTAAAATAGTTTTTTTGAGTTTGGCAACTTCCAATGGATTCGCCCAGCGTCATACAGTACTATCTAGTATCTATATATTATAGTCAATCCTCTATCTACGGCGTAGATAGAGGATTGACTATAATATAATATCGTAGTGGGAGTATGTACAATGTAGTTTATTCTCTTTCTACGCTAGATATAGATATTAAGATACTAAGTCTATGATCTACGGCCAGCCTATCCTCTATCTCTATCTACGGTCAGCGTCAAGTATTTTTTTAACTGCTTTACGGTTCTGGGATCTAGCCCTTCTGAGCCTATAACCTTTCATGAGAGTCACACAGAGTTTCCGTTTTCGTAGATACGCTTACTTAGCTTTATGTTACGGACGTACTTAAGTAGTTATTTTCGAATGAATTAACATTATAATAGTTTTACAAAATTATTGCAATGAAAATTAATTATTTATTAAAAGCCAGACACAGACGTTAAAAAAAACTTAATAACAGTCATTCTCTCTAATACGTCAGATTAATTATTTTTTGAATCTAACTGTCTCAGTTGCATCAGGTTAACAGTTTTAGTTTATTATTTAATTGTAACGAGTATATTATTTAATTGTACTCATGATTTAATATTTTCCTTGTGAAAATCGCTCGTTTCATGTTTTATCAAATTTAGCGATAATTGCGCTAATCTGAAAAACAGTTTAAATCAGACAGACTACTCTCAGATTTACGAAAATTATGCATTAAAAAAAACAGAAAACCGAATGTTTAGAAATGGAGTAAGCCAATCTCTATTGATTTCTTCACCATTAGAAAGTTTTATATTATAGTAATAGGTACAAAATTTTCGACGTTGCCATTAACAGAAAAGCTGTGGCTATGCACTTGTACAGGACAACGTCTAAATATAATATTTACAAAATCACTGTTAATACTAACAGGCCACAAACCTAGGTCATCAATCACTAAATGTAACTAAGCTTGCAGATTCTTCTTCATTCTTCGTCACTTCTCCTTCACTTGTATCACTTTCTAAATAAATAGAACTGCAAACCAATTATTTCTTCGGATTCTTTCACAAGTTTGGAAGCCGACGACGTGCCCGACGTCGTCAATTTTTCACAAAAAATTGAGATATAGAACCTGCTATTTTTTTTCTTTATTTCCCTCTTTTTTGTTTCGAAATTGAGCCCCAGTAAGCTTTTTCGTCTTGGGTGGTTACTGAAATAATTTCGAATGTATTATGCGCAGTTTTCTCATAATGGGTCTGACAAACGTTCTGACAACAATCGCGCTCTCGTCTGCACGCCGCTGCGCAGTAAAAATCAGGATTTTAAAGTTGTCTGTGGTAAATGAAATGAAAAGAAAAAAAAAACTGTATTTTGCCTCAGTGCTTCAATTCTAACAGTTAAAACTGATAA